TGATGTGTGTTTTGGCTCATTGCCAAGCAGCTGGCAGCTAAACAGCCCTGGAGCATGATACTGCCACCACCATGCTTGATGGTATTTGTGTTTTTGGGGTTAAATTCTTCACCTTATCTTTCTGTCTGTCTTTGCTAATGTTTTTAAGTAACTTCAATCGCTAAAGACTCCTAAACTTTACACTCCTCTGCCCTCATTAAAAAGAAAAACACAACCCTATCCCTTGTGATAGCTTTCTTACAGCCCTTAAGGTTAAATAAAGCACACTTTTGTTGTCACGAAAGACATTCTGACATGTCACTGAAGGACAAGTAGGCGTTACTAATGAAATGAATGATGGATGAGTTCCATTTAGCTGCTTCAGTTTCAGGGTTTCAGGGTACAGTGGATGCTGACTTACTGGGGACTGGATGCATTGAGGCTTTTCTGCCTGTGACAAGGCTGATCTGTACTGACAACAAGATTATCTCAGAGCTTAGATTGGATAAATCAAATACAGACTAGGTTAACATCAGGTCTTTATGTGTCCTAACCAAATCATGTCAGGAATTTACCAACATGCCCCTGAAGTTCACACAGCGGCTGTGTCAGAGAGTCCGGTGACTCTCCTATAGTTCAGACAGAGGTATCAGGATGTGACTGCAGCTCCTCCGTCTGGAAATCTTTAATATCTGACTCAGTTCCTCTCTTTTGTGCTGATTCTGCTCACACTGAAGTCCACTAGATGGCATCACAGCTGCAGAGAGGATGTTGTCCATCAGTGGAAACATTCCCTCCAGCTTATTAATAATGTATTATTAAGTTGAAGTTGAGGTTCAGGGCTGCTCAGGGAGAGAAGAGTGATGCAGCAAAATGTGTCCATAAATGAAACTGTACGGATGAATGATCAACCTTAAAAATGGATGAATCATAAAATCTTAAAAACCATTTATTGATAAATGAAGTTTAAAATGACTTCATGAATCCATTTGCATGTTAGAATCTATTTTTGCTGGTACCAGTACTGCATTTGGATTGAGGATATTGCTCCAGAGGTTTGACTGGAAATAAAACAAAGTTGACATTTAGGAATGAGATGGAAAATATTGCACAGACGGATCCGCCCAGGAACCTGAGCGCATTTAGTTCTGTTTCAACAAAGACCGATCAGCTGAAGAGTTGATTGTCTGCCTGTGTGTGTGCGCAGCGGCTCCGTGTGTCTGTGGATCAGGCTGTGGATGGGTGTTTCTCTTTAATTCTGCGGCATCTCTCTCACTGTATGCGGGCCTGCTGTTGTGGAGGAGGGCGGGCCGTGAACGCAACGAGCACATTTTGGACACCAAACTAACGGATGCGACATTTACACACGGAGCGTGGACTCGGCGTGATTTTCAGCATCGTCTAACGAGATTTGCATTGATTGCATTAGGATAAGCATGCACAGCTCAGAGCGGAGCAGAGGCCCAGTGTGCTGAGGGAAAGCTGACCTCGGGTAAACCCTCAGAGGCTCGGCGGACTTTGGAGATATTCTGCAGAGGTGGTGTGTGTGTGTTTTTTTTTTTTTTTTTTGGCGCAGCACGGGGAACTCTGGCGCAGCGTAAAGAGGGATGATCTCCCCATCCACGGATCAGACAGGCCACTGAGCGAAACTACGACCGTGTGAGGAGCTAGTCCGAGCGGCGGTTGCAAGATGATGTCGCTGATAGATCTGGACGATGATCAGCGATGGGTGCCGACTCATGTGAATGTCACCGTCCTCCGCGCAAGGGGACTGCGAACCAAGGGCAAGCACGGCAGCCGCTACCTCTACACCATCATCCAGGTGGGCAAGGAGAAGTACACCACCGGGCTGGTGGAGAAGGCGGAGGTACCCGTGTGGAACGAGGAGTGCTGCTTCGAGCTGCTCCCGGGGATCCTGGAGGACGGCGGCCGGAGCGCCTACCCCCCGGGGAGCGGAGACCTGGTGCTCACCGTCATGCACCGGGTGCTCATCGGACTGGACGTGTTTCTGGGCCAAACCATCATCCCCCTGGACAAGATATTTCAGGACGGAGTGTGTCCGAGAGACGAGTAGGTTGGGCTTTTTAAAAAGAACATCGTAATGCAGCCTGCACGACAAACTTCACTCAGGAGACAGAAGTGATGTGTCACGTTTAGATGTCAGAGCATGACAGGGTTAAATCACACTGTCAACAGTCTGTCAGCAAGAGTGCCAGAAAAAAAAAAAAAGTTTAAAACAAATGTTAGAAATCTGGAAAAAAATTAATAAAAAATAAATATAAATAAATAAATACTTAAAATAAAAAATAAAAAAGGTAAAAGTAACAGTAAATGTCTACACACTGCTAATATATTGACTGATTTAATAACAGTGAAACTGCTGAGTTTTACAGTCACACTTTGTAAAAGAACAAACTACTATCTGTAGAAGTAGTTATGATGAGGACAATGTGCAGTTTGAAACCTGTTTACATTTTACAGTCATCATGTAAATTCATACTTTTTCAGACATTTTGCTGTTTTGATCTGTTTCATACATTAACGATTACAGTAAAAAGTGCAATACAAAAAAATATTTTGCATTTTTCAAGTCTTAATTTACATAACTTTTATTCACATAAGGGCAAAAATCTGTCCAATAACAACAGTAAAAATAATGTAATTACATGGCCAAACATAAAAAATCATTTTAGCACTTATAAAACTACTGACTGACATGTAAATAAACACTTTTGCTTGGATTTTACTAGTTATAGTCTGAAATTTAACAATTACAGGAACAATTTGTGAAATAACAGGGTTTTTTTGTTGTTTTTTTTTAAAAGAAGTTATTAGTTAATCCTTTGTATACATAATTTTTCTTTCAAATAATAAAAAAAGTCTGTAAAAAAAATATATATATATACTTTTTTTGGCTGATTTAAAGTGCAGCTAACTTTATGATTAAACACTGAAAAAGTACAAATTACTATTCATAGAAATGTTTTTAAATTTAGACATTAGTTACCATGTTGGCAGGCTTTCTTTCTTTCTTTTTCTTTTTTCTTTCTTTATTATTATTTTTTTTTTTAACTTTTTCTTTCCCTTTTCTTTTGTCTTTCTTTTCTTTTCTTTTTTTTAAGTGTTGACATGTAAATTAATTCCTTTATCTGTAATTTACCAGAACATAAAAAGGTGTAAAACAGCAGTAAATTGTTAGAGGTTACAGTTAAAACAATTAAAACATGTTTATCTTCTACATAGTAAACTTTACAAGAAAGCTGCAGATACCTTTTGCTCCATGCCTTTTCTTCTCATAGATCATCCATTCAGTATTTTGGGGATGGCTTCCTCCTCATGCAGCTCTAATTATCAGTCATGTGCATCATTTACAACCTGACTTGCAGCAGTTCACCCACTAGCTTCTGCAAGAAAGTGAAATCAGACGTGGTGTTTTGCTGGATGACACATGGCAGAGGGAGCTGCCAGGGCTTGAACCCCACAGACTCATTAAACTCTGGCCCTTTGTTCTGACATCCTTTACCAGCAGCTACTCCAGCAGCAGCAGCAGCTCCCCACAATGCACCGAGAGTCAGCAACATGAGATGCATTTTCCACTGTGGAGCAAATAAAGATTTCAGCCAGGAAGACGCCATCTTTATGCTCAAGGCACCAGAAAAAAAACATTGTGATAATACATTTTCTGTAACTAGTAGGACACTGTGTCCTTCTTCAGGCCTTGTAATTCAAAAAATATAATGTACCTAGTTTTTGCTTTGAGATAGAAACCCATTCCACTGTCTACACACTTAGATATAAATAGTGCAACAACGTGATATGAGTGGCAGGTTGGCAAATAGTTGGAGTTAGAAAAATAAAAGTTGGTCATGCAAGGTCAGAATTCCTCAAAATGAAACACATGTCTTTGCAGTAAAAGAGTTGTTTTGATTAGAAGCGACTGGCTGAGCTGAAGAAGCAGTGTTTCTGGAAAACTAAAGTTAGACTGGAGCCAAGAGACAGAGGGGTAGTAGATGGTGTCAGCGTCTATTTATTGGAGTTCTGCATCAGATTAGTGGTTGTCAGGTTCTGAAATGCTCCGACGTCATTCTCTTATAATGCTTTTAGCAGAGTATTAACTCTGGCTGACCTAAGAATTCAATCAAAACACCATCAGTGGTCTTTTTTCTTAAAGACAAAAGCCATTTATCTTGACTTTTTTGGCTTGTTTTCTGTCGCTTTAGGTTAAGACTGGGCCAGCTTAACTCGAAGATACATTTAATAATCAGCTATCATTGACTGCAGCAGTATTTAGTGGATGTTTGTGTGTATTTTACCGTATATATTTTTCATATTTTGTTGTCACAGCAACAACTTTTCATTCAGATAAGTTAAAAACATCCCAATGATCAATAGAGCTTCAAATAAAACCACACGAGCAGAAGGAGACATTCTGTGACTACTCATCACTAGCTGCTACATTTTCATATTAAAGCTCTTTTGTTTAGGAGCTCTTTTGTGCCACAGGTGACATAACTGCACTCTTATGTGAAGCACTTCCACTATCAACACTGACGAGCAGAGTGGAGTGAAACAATAGAGCACATCTGGCTTTAATTGTGGCTTCTCCGCCCTCTACGCTCAGTGAAACTCACACTGAATTCCTTCTGTTAGTTTTGGCCCCATAACATTTTCTCTGGTCCACTTGCAGGACTTTGGAGGCCGGAACAGAGGGAGAGTTTCATTGGTTGTCTCCTCATATTGTCCATGTCTCTCTTTCTTTTTTTTTTTTTCCAGCAGGTGTAGGTGGGTGGACCTCGAGGAATTTGGATTGTGATTTCCTGCTCTGAGGCTTATAGAACAGTTTGTCAAAGGCAGATTTAGAGCACTGTTCCCCCGAGCGATATCTCCAGATTATGTAACACGTGACAACCTTTGCCAAAAGGAAATCACTGTTTTTTTTGACATTTCTCATTTTGTCAGTCCAAAGTTCTGAAGATACACTGTAGGAATTGAATACTTCTTTAAACTACAATTCTTTTGAGCAATTTACTGTTATTTTACAGATTTTTGTTAAATTACTGGTGATATCTGGGGAAATCACAGAAGACAGTATTGATTTGCATTGTGACTGTGATAAAACAGGTCAAAACTGTAAATAATTTTCACATTAAACATCTGTAATTTTATAAATGGTAATTCATAGTTCTTTTACAGTGCTTGACCTTTTTTACAGCAATAAATTAATAATGAAAAACATTATTTTACAGATATTTGCCATTATTTAAGAGATAATTATGCATATCAAATATTAAAAATGGTCATAGTTATCCTACAAATATTCCTTTTTTTGTTTAATTTATTCATTTATTAAGTCTTTATTTACATTCTGACTGTAAAAATGAACAAACAAAAAACTGGCTAAAACTGCACATGATGTCCACACCAAAAATCTGTATTTTTACAAAAAGTAATTTGCTCTTTTACAGTGTGTGACCACAGGATAACATTGTTTTACTGTATTCAAATCAGCCAAAAGTTGTCATTATTTTACAGACATTACCTGCTACATGTACAGATTTTACAGTTGTTGAACACATTTGGTGTGTTTTATACTGTAGCCTTTACATGTCTTGTGTAAGTTTGGCTTTTACATTGTGCTTGTTGACTCTCCCTTTTCTTTGATTCCATCCAGATGGTTCAAGCTCAACTCTAAGGCGGGACGGAAGGAGAAGGAACGTGGTGAGCTTCAGGTAACGGTCCAGTTCACTCGCAACAACATGACGGCCAGCATGTTCGACCTCACCATGAAGGACAAACCTCGCTCTGCGTTTGGGAAGCTCAAGGACCGCGTCACAGGGAGGAAGAGGGGCGACATGGAGTCTTCCTCGGCCATCGTTCCGGGCCGCTATGCCGCCCTGTCAGGATCTGTGGGGACGCCGTTTGGAGAGGACGGCGGCGGGATGGTGGAGCCACAAACTGTGGAGGTGGTGGAGGAGAAGAGGAGCAAAGTGAAGGATTTCTTCAAAGGAAGGCTGCGAAAGTCGTCTGACACCAGGTCGTGCTCGTCGCTGGCTTCAGAGAGCAGTGTGTCTTCCATGGCCAGCGATAACCTCGGCCCTCCTCCCAGCCTGGATCTGCTGTCAGACCCTCCCAGCTCCCCCATCTACACGAGCAAAGTGAGAGTGGACTCCCACTATGGAGAGGCAGATTTAGCTAAAAAAGGTAGGCTTTGAGATGATTCATGTGCATGACACTGACCAAAAAAAACAATCTGTGTTTCTCAGTGTTTTACAGCAGAGGATAGCTGCACGACTGAATCTGGACCATCTTGTCCAACATCATTAAAAAAGGAGTACCCTTTTTTGTAATAGAAATTCCAGTGAAACCAGTGATGCTATTTCACACAGCATGGATTTAGTGAGTGTGGCTCATGTTTAGGCTTTTATCTCTTAGCTCCATTGATCGTGAGATATAAGTTGTCTGTATCTGGGAGACAGAAATCCTGACAGACACAGTTATCATTTCCTCTGTTCTCACTGCAGCATAAATAGAATGATTGGATGATATTCACAAACATTTTTGATAAGAAATCCCTAAATTTGATTCTTTGTGACCAAGGTACATATATTTGTACGCTATAATGGGTCTTTTTACTACACGTCTCTGAAAAGGAATCACTCTTGTCAAATTCAGACAAAAAAATTAATATCTGACTTAGTTATCCCCTTTAGACCTACAGAGCCTTTTTGTGTCTTTCAGCTCAATGTTTTGCTGTTTGTCTGGAAGCTTTAAGGGCCAATTCAAGCTTTCCACTTCTACTTGTCTGCAAGAGTCCGCGTGACTTAAATTTTGTCATCCTCTAGAGTTCAAGAGGCCAAAAATTTGTGTCCGCACAGATGGTCTGCACTGTGAGTTTACTGACTGCATAAACACCAGGAAAACAAATGGTGCTTCAAACAAGTGCCTAATATGAAGCGAGACTGTTCAAGGCGATTCTCGTCATCCACACCTCAGTAATCCAACAATAACGGAGTTGTAATTAAAGTAGTTGCTGCCAGACATTGGAGATGCTTTGATTTGCTCATGCTTTCCATTGACAGCAACCAGGAAGTTCTGAATTCTCCATAAATTCTGTGCCATGCAGTTCAGTCCATAAGCTGCTATGTCCTATAAAACGTGCAAAGTCACAGCATTTGAGAAACATCCACAAGAACTCTGTGTGTTTTTCTGAGTACATGTACCTGTTGCAACATGAACAGAACCACGTGGGTATCCACTGTTTGCTTTTACAGGCTGCATCTGTCGTGCAGAAACTATGAATTAGCCTTTACTCTTTAGCTATTATCAACCATTTTAGCCACAGCAGGTGGCTGTTTTTGTCAACAAAGCTTTGAAAAAGCCACCATTCAACACAAAACAGTAGACAGGCAAATTTAGCAACTAGATAAAGCAAAAAGTGCAGCATTTGGCAGCTTAAGAGCCAGACATTACCCTAAAAACTAAAAACAGTGCAAGAAGAGGATTTAGACGTTGATTAGTTTGCCCCAAACGGACGATGTTGCTCTCTGCTCCCCCAACAGACAAAAAAACACAACTATTCATCAGAATCAGAAATACTTTCTTGATGCCAGAGTGGAAATTGCTTCATTGCTTATTACTCCTTTAAGGCAAGCGTTTGGATAGAAAATGGACCTAAATATCACATTCATCAGTTTACAAATTCAGTCACTTCTTTCAAACTCACTTGTGTTCTATGAATTTTTATTGTCATTTCTATAACCCAGGTCTTTTATCTTTTCCACAGTGCTCACCAGCCAGCACACCACAAAGGTTCTCACACACAAGCGAGCCTTCAGCGATGAAGCTAGTAAGATCACAACAGGCTTCCCACGATCAAATGTTGCCGTGGAGTCTCTCAAAGGTCAGACCATGACTCAGTCGAAGTCCTCCTTGTGTATAAATGGAAGCCATGTCTACGACTCCGAGCCATCGACTCCAAAGAGCTCCGGAGCGCTCCCGTCTAAACTGGTTCTGCTGGAGAAATGCTCCCCGCTCTCTCGCTCCCTGCAGAATCTCACCAAAAGAAGTGAGGACAAAGGTTCCTTTGCAGAGGGCAGACGCTGGTCCTTTGACAAGATGAAGAAAGAGGAAAAGGAGGAAGAAAAGGAAGCTCAGGCGTCGTCTCCCCCAATTCAGCCGGCTCAGATAGGAGGTCGCCCTGTGCAGGCAGCGACGCCAATCGTTGCCTCTGCTGGTTCACCTGACAAAGGGAGGAAGCTCAGAAAGACGTTATTCTCTGGAGGGAGGAGTGATTCTCTCCCAGCTAAGTCAGACCTCAACCAGGCTGGTTCTACTTCTGAGGGGAGGCTCAGAGGTTGGTTTGGTTCTGGTGACTCCCAGAACAAGCCGAGGTGAGTAGGGGTCATTTATGGGCTCGCCTCTGGGCTTCACAGTGTTTGATGAATTTACTTTCTGTCCAGACTCACGGGAGGCCTGTGTTCAGCTGGGTGTCCTGAGTCCAGTGTTTGCTCTGCTCCCTGCTCATTTGAAAATGGAATTGATTTAGTTCATAATTTCTTCCATTTTAAAACCATGCTGTATCATCATCTCACACTATATTTTCCACAGATAGCACTCCAGCATCGCCATTTTCTTTACCAGTGTGTGTTTCTCTACCAAAGATGCAATGTCACGGTGGTTTAAAAAAAAACAAAAAAAAGGTGTGAAGAAAATCATTCCATGTCGATATGAGCTCACCCAACAGAACAGCTGCCAGTGCAGGTGCTGCTTGAACGGCTGCAATGCATTATCTATTTATTTGCTTGATTATTTTGCAAATGTGCTTTGCTTTTTTTTAATTTCATTTACGTTACTGTTTCCATAAGTCTATCATTCGGCCAATTTTATGTCTACTGAAGTCAGTTGAACAAAAATGTCCCACTTTGTTGTGGAGTATCAGCTAACATTCTGGTTGTCTTTTCTGTTTGTGTAAGAACGATGTTCCCCATCTGGCAATCTGGCACATCATTAACTAAGAGGACTATTGTGCCCTATTTTCCTCCACAGGCTGGAAGTTTCTCCTAAGGTAGAAAGCAGCTCAGATGTACCCCCTCCCCTCCCTCCTCGCTCCCCTGTACCTCCTCAGTGCTCCTCCCCCTCCGCCTCCCCCTCCGGTCATGTCTCACCTGACGACTGCAGTCACACCAACATCTTCACCCCTTCTACCTCCCCCGCTTCAACCCCCATCTCCCCTTCCAACCCTTTCCTCCCACGTATGCAACGCAACCCCTTTTTCGAGGAGCTCATAGCGGAAGAGTTGCAGAAGTCGCCTCCTTTTGCGCCTTGCTCCTCTCCTGACTCATCCCCCTTTCACTACACCACTCTGCCCGCTCAGCCCTGCACACCCAGCACTGCTCACGAAGTTAGCGCCGCAAATATGGGTTCCATAAAGCGAGAGCGCCCCAGGCCAGTGGCTAGGCAGATATCACTCCCTGCATTATTACCCAAAGCAGCCACTACAAATTCCCCCAACCACTCTGCTCCTCGCTCGATGTCAGAGAGTGCAGGAGAATGGGACGACTCGTTCGATGCCTTTGCCTCCAGCAGGCTCAACTCACCTAAAGGCAGTCTTCCACCAAACCAGCTGAGAAGCAGCCCCACTTCATCCCGTAAACGTAGTTACCCCCTACTTAACAACAATGCCAATACTTATGCACAGGGACTGCGAACATGTAAAGAGGAGCCTCCGCCTTTGCCTCCAAGGAGACCTTTAAGAACTACAATGAACGAGCTTTATTCTGATGGCTGGCTGCACAGAGGTCAAGAGCTAGCGGTCCATAAAGAAGCCTACCTCCTCTCACAGACTGGCGTGGCCTCGCTACAACGTGGGAGAGAAGGAGAATCCAAAAGAAACAGTATATCTCCAGACCCTCACACAAGCAGCGAGACCTCCGACTCCCTCAGCGTCCACTCCCAACCCTGCACAAACACTACTTCTCCAGGATTCAGGGCAGATGAGAAGCTCAAAAAGTTCAGATACGAGCCATTGGAAGATGAAACTGATTGCTGGGGAGGGATGTTGTTTGAGCAGGACTTGTATGGACGGATTTGTCGAGGACAGTATGGACAGCCCAAAGTAAGCAGTCGTAGATTATCATTGAATCCTGAGGAAACTACTGGAAACAGGAACACATCTGAGAACTCAGGTCCTACAATGCTTCTTGATAGCGAGGTATCTGTCACAGACCTTTTGAACATGTCATCTACTGCTCCATCGAAGGCAGATGTACAGGTACTAGATACTTCTTTCATTCCAGTAGAGGAGACAGTAGAGACTGATCCCCCTGAATCCCCATGCATCAACAATAACATTTCTTTCTCACTAACTTTAGGAGATCTGAACATGAATGTGAATAATACAGACTTTGGTTTTATTGATTCTGATGGATCTTCTCAATCAGAAGTAGCCGATACTCTCAAAAGCATCCACAGTTTGGGGGGGACTTTTCCACTAGAAGATACACAGATAGGTGTTTACCATGAGAAGACCACACCTGAGGACATGTTCACTTTGAAGGACACCTACATACCTGAGATGAACTCCTCATTTGAAATCACTGCTAATAAACTGTACAAAGTATCTCCAGTTTGCCAAGACAACTGCCTAGACTGTCGTTGTGAACTGAATAACGTGGCACCACATGGTCACTCCAGGGTGAAAAGCCTTGAGTTTGCCGCTTTGATGTCAGAAAACCAAACGTCTAATTCACCTGATGTTGAAGCTGGATACAGAGAAGAAATAAGAAGAAGTGGTGATGATTTTAAAAAGACACAGAAGAACTTTGATGATAACGGCAATCCGCAGGCCAAGTTAGCCAAACTTAAACAGACAGAGTCGTTCCCAGGAGTGGTTAGTGCACGTTTCAGACCAAAAGGAGTGTCTCGACAGAGCAGCTGTGACAGCCCAAACAGCCGAAGCAAAAGCGGAGACAGAGAGTTCGAACAGTTTTTATGCCTCGTTCAAAACATTTCCGAAATCAGCGAAGGACCATCATCATATCAGCCCACTAAATCAGCTCTGTCTTCCTTACAGGCATTAGATAAACAGATAGATTTGCTGCAAGGTAGCGCCAATAGTGATCAAACACACCACAGAGAATCTAATACAACATCACAAATATCTTCAAAGGATAACACAACAGCATGTCTTCCAGAACACACCGCTGACATCAGTTTTGAAGACCTTCACGCAAAAGTAGCACCAAACTCAAGAACCCCTTCCAAGACAAAGATTGGGCAATCTTTGCAAGAGCCTGAACCCTGTCCTCCCTCCATCCCTAATGCACTCTCCCTGTCAGTTGATACCCCTGTCTGTTGCCCCTCCATACAAACCTCAAGCACAGGGCCGAGTGCTGGAGTCAGCACTACGCTGGCTGAGGCCCCCTACACCTCCTCCTACTCTACCACCTTCACCACTGACCAGCCCCTGGTCGCTGCACGGCACTCACTTTTGCCTGAGGAGACACAGCCAGCTAGCAACCTGCCCCATCAGGAGAGCAGGTGAGAATCCTCACACCAGGACATGACTTGTGTAGGTGTTTACAAGCTGTACTAAATTGGAATAACAGACATGATTTGCACATACACCACAAAACATGTAATTGGGAGTTTTGTTTTCGTCTTGATTGCTCTGATACCTTTGTTTCTTGCTGTCTTGGCTTGTTTGAAGTTGAATGCATTTATGGATTTAAGTTCTGCCTTTCCATCCAAACGTGTTGGATGATACCTGCTGCATCGTTCTTGGCTTTGCTTCACATTTCTGTTCTTCATCTCATGTTTCAGTTTCTTGTTGGCTGTTGTAATTTTGTTGTTTCTTACACTTTGTTCTGCCTAAGCCTACCTAGTTTTGCTGCTTTTTTGGCCACCTGCTAATGAAAGGTAAATATACAGTATGTCCATCGTAGGATGTCTAGATGTACTAAGTGAAAAATCTGCCTGGATTATACTGTATTCCTAGAAGATTGCACTTTCTCAAAGCATGAGACAGTCACCATAGCCAGAGTCGAAACGTTCTTTTAGATTTGAATTCATGGCTGCTCAAGACACAAGGAGAGCCAAAAATGGAACTGGTACATTTGATATATACGAGGGAATAAGCAGAGGACAGTCAAGAGCGCCATTGTGGCAGAGGTTTTAATGATTCATGGGACTCAGAAATAATAGATATTTTTTGTGACACAGCTGTTTTTGGCAGCCAGAACTTCTAGTAGAACCCCTGGGCTTAGCTCCAGGAAGCTCAAAATTGATTAATGTGCCATTTTGTTTTGGCAATTTTTAGTGCTCAAAGAAGCCATTCTAGACTGTATTTTAAGTTTTATTGATGTGCTTTGATATGTTTAGCTTTTTTAGGATGGAAGTGTGTGTGCAGTTCAGTTAACTACCTGCTGGATGTAATAATGTACAGTGACAAAGCCATGGTTGGTTTGACTGGACAGGTATGGTGCTGAAATGCTAGTGCTGACCTCTTTATTTTGCAGACCTCATCCAGTGAAGCCGTTAACCTCCAGCCAGTCAGAGAAGAAGGAGAGTCGCTCTGTTCTGGAGAAGCTCAAGTCTACCATCCACCCTGGACGCACCACCCATCAGGTCGCTGCTGAACCTGAGAGAAGTCAGGTACTGTTAAACAAATCCTTTGTTACCTTTCACACAACACGCAGCTAATGAAAAGAGAGTTTGTCCTTTACCCTGTACCTAATGAGTACTATTGGAGTTCTCAATCTTCCCCCACTTAATTGGAGATGAAGTTCACAGCAGCTGGATAATTATTCAGGCGACTACAGAAAACAGTCCAGCAGAAGAAAAATAACATGAAAGTGTGTAGTCGCTCCCTAACAGCTCCTTGTTAGACTGAGGTTACCTCCGACACTGGGGAGAGAAATACTGATCCCATTACTTCTCTCAAGTGTGACATAATTCTTTGACCCAGATAAGAGAGTCCAGCCGGCGGCACCTTCACTTCACCTGAAAATGAGTGTGGAATTATTTTCTTATCTATGACTTCCTTTATGATGGTATTAGTTGTTTTTCTGGTGGTTCTCTGTTACATCTCTGCAGCAGTTGGAGTGATGATCTGATGGGTTTGAAACGGCAAAGAATGCAATCACCATCAAGAATAGCATGGGATCCTTATAATTCCTGTTTATAAAATATTTTCCCTTAACATTACATCAAACTTTGTATAATGTGGCCCCATGTCTGGTCACTTGGTCCACTTGTCTCACAACAGTTAAAGGAATCTGTGGATTACCATTAAACAGCACAGCCAATTTTCAGATGGATCCATAACGCTGCATGAGTCTCACTTTGTGCAAATGGCATAAAAATTAAGTTATTAAGATGTCACATATTGCTAAGTCACAGAAAGCCATTAAGCTCTCAGACTGTTTAATGCTTCCATGAACATTTATTAGCAGCAGCAGTGCACATGGTGTTAATAAATACACTGCAGGACCATAAATTTTGGGATGACTTCATTGTTTCCTGCGACTCACTTCATTTTTTATTTATTTTTTTAACCACTTGCAACTAAAATTGTGCCTGTTTAATTTTCCAGCACAGTTATTATCACACCATCTGTCATTTTAGTCACATTTCTTATTTGAAGGAATACTTAGGTGAGAAGGAGATTTACAGCCTGTAAACAGTTAGTTTGACCTAAACCTTTAGATGTTACGAGATGATCTAGACACAACATTAGAGGCAATTGAGCCTTTGCAGTAGCTGTTCCTAATTTCTGGAACAGTTTGTTCTGAAGACTTAATTCTTCGCTTTGGCTTTAAATTCAGCTTGACACCCTGACTTCCCTATTTTATTGTGTTTATATTCAGATTTGTGTTTTATTCATTGTCTTATGGGTTGTTATTTATAATTGTGCAGCATTTTGGTTCAGCTCCTGTTTTTTTTTTTTTTAAACATACTTTTGAAAATAAATTGGCTTGTCTTGACCAAACACTGTAAACAAGGGGAAGCTGGTACCTGTAATATAACAAGGTAACAAAGTCATACAACCAGCACAGCTAAAGCTTTCCAGCTGTAAAGTCTTGTCTCTGAGTATTACAAACTGTTTTTGCAGTGTTTTGCTTTCTGATAAGCATTTTAACCAGTAACAGTGAATGACTTCCCAGTGAAACAATTAAAAATTGTCCAAGTAGTCCAGTAAGATTAACAGATGATTCAAACTCATCTCTGTGCATCAAAGTTACATATTTTGTTTTTCCCACCTCTCTCTACCGTAAAATGGTTTAGATGTAACTTTAAACCATTGCTTTCTTAACAGTGTGCAGATCATTGAAGCCTTGCTTCTATCTGCACCTCCCGTCCGACACTCGCTGCAGCACAGCACACCAGCTCACCTATGATTCCACTCAAACACTGTAAAAAATACTCGACACTACCCAATGACAAGCTGTGATATCGGAGTAATTAAGTCGAACGAATTTAACCCAGAAACTAATTCTGAAGAAGACTAATGATACAGAAAGCCGCATCCTGCAAGTTGACAGGATTGATTCCTTTGGTTTGTAATGTGTGACACTCCAGGCACCTGAATTTGTATTTTTGAGCAGCTAGCTATGGCTCACGCTTCTGATGTGTCTTCCATTGTAAAAATAAAACAAACAAACAGTGGACGCCCAACCGGATAAGATGGCGACCCACAACCAGGGGCCATAGTCCCAGACACAGCAGTGGTGGGATCGACTCCCGACCACGGCCATTTTCTGCAGGTCTTTTCCCGCTCTTCTCCCCCATGTCCTGTCTCTCTCCACTGCTCTGATAAAGGCAAAAAAAAAAAAAAAGCCAAAAAGAAAATTAAAAAAATAAAAACAACACCATAAGAACGTGTTAACAAGGTCACAAACTTAATTTTCATCAGCGGAGGTCTTAGGTCTTAGCATTTCATACCAGCAGATAGAGTCCGACCACCTGTTTCCTCCAGCTCTCAGTCTGTATGCTAAGCTAAGCTAACCCACATTCACTATTTCTCATCTGCTGTAACTTCCAACAAGAAAGTGCTCCCTAAATGTCAAATTCTTCCTACAACTGTGACATTAACAGGCCGTTTTCACACCTGACAGCTGCACTGCTTCTTCTCTTGTCTCTCACAGGAGGTGACGGTGGACACCTCGGCTCAGTACCAGCACCTGACCAACATGGAGCTGATCTCTCTGCTACTGCAGCAGGAGATGGACATGCAGAAGCAGCAGGCGTCCTCTGAGCGTCAGGGGGCGCAGCTGGAGAAATGTGAGGCCGAGCTGAAAAAGGTCAAAGCGCAGGTCCGAGACCTGGAGGACTATATTGATAATCTGCTGCTGCGGATCATGGAGCAGACGCCCACGCTGCTTCAAGTGCGCACTAGACACAAGTGACGACAGTGCTAGCGTGCGTTTGGTGTATTGCACAGGATGTGTGAGCCTCTAAAATATTGACTCCTTGAGATTGCGTTCAAAACATGGTGAATACTTATGGCTGGGAGTTACTATTCTGGAGGCTGTTACAGTCAAACAAATGCTCCACAAAATCTCACAACCATCCAGGTCTTCTCTCTGCTGATACTGCCCTGTTGATGTAGACACGATATTACCCAACATGCATGCTGGTTGCGATCCCAATTTGGCACAAACAAAAAACTGTACTATGAGAAGAAGCTTCTATCAAAGCAGTTGCAAATGATTGTTTTACCCACGCTTACTAGAATAAGTTAAAGTAGTCAGCTGTCATCTGTTTAAAGTCACTGCTTCACATGTGCATAAAGTAAAGTGCAGACTAGAGAAAACCTTTTTAGAGGTGCATTCAATGTGCTCTTCGGGGTCTAAATATGACATTAGCTCAAGTAACCATTACAAGTAAATCTTGGAATTTACAGCAAAAAATGACATTTTGATACAAGATTTTCTGACGGTTTTATCTCAAACAGTTCCATGAAACTTCACAAAGATTAACTCGAGTTAATGACATATTTTCAAGTAGAACTTAAGAATACAGTTAAAAGATAGCAACACATAAAATGCTGCTTTGCTATGTGAACAATATAAAAAGAGATGTTTCTGCATTAACATTGCTGTATGATGAGCAAAAAAGCAACATTCATGATTTGCCAGAAGAGGATGAAGACTTGCTTTGTTTTTTTGTTTTTTAAAAATTTAATATTGTTTTACTGAAATGCCTTTTCCCCCCAAATTCCAAGCTAAAACAACGAATGAATGTTTTAATATATTTTTAAGTTTTTGTTGTCCATGTTTTTGTCAAAATAGTAGCATTTGACTGTAGGAATAACAAAGTAACAATGCAGTAAATAAGAGTATCGTAAGTTATTTCTATCAAATCCTTTTGTCCTGATAATATATTCTCTAATGCCACTCTAGTACCACTGTAGCTACTTGCAATGCTTTACATGACCGCAGTACTGTACTGTAATAAAATAAAATGCACATGAACCAGAGGTTCTATGGTTCTTATGTTGTTTTTACTGACCAGGAGTCAGCAAAACAGTAGGAGAGACTCATCCATGACGTCCTGCTTGCTGAATGTTTGGTGAGTAATGCTTATTTCTCTCCACCAGAGAGCGCTCTTGACTCTGGTGATAAAACCTGCTGGTTCAGCGTTGGTCCTCTGCTTTGCACCTTTTGCATGTTCAAATTCACTTGAGAATTTAATACCTGACTCCACAGATCACGTTGTGGACAAGCTGTCGTTGTACTGTCGGTCACTTTGCTTCACTGTTTTTCATTTCAGATTGTGAAATGCTGGTTTACGGTTGTTTCTGGTCAAAACATAAAATACAACAGCACAAGCTGCTCTTTGTCTGTAGACCCAGGAGACGTGATACACTTCCTGTTCCAGCCTGAACACTCTCAGCAAAAAAGGTCACACAGCAACTTTGAAATTTAGCTCCAATAAGCAGCAAAGATGTAAGAGGACTAGTATGAGGAACAATCAGGTCTTTTACTGAAGTGAAATAGCAAAATGCATTAGAAATTTTCCTTAGGTAGAAGGACAGAAGCATTTTCTTTTAAATTAAGAATGCATTTGTAGAATACAACAGAAATTGTAGTTTATGTTATGTGATTACGTTCACTGAGCACAGAAGCAGCATTTTATGTTGTTTGACTTGTTAAGCTCAGGAATCTTTTATCTATTTTGTATAGCAATGAGTGGTTAAGTCTGTAACCATGAGCCACAGTTACTTTATTGACGTACGCATGTAAAATCTTTATCTGCAAAGTCAGCAGTGCATGTATTCAGAGACGCATGAAGCAGCACACAGAGGAAGGTCAGCAGTCCACCATGTAAAGTGTGTTTGAGCTGTGGTAGATGTGAAGTGCTGATTCAAATGAATCTCATTTCTCTTTCTGCTTTTCGTGGTGGCGGTTTACATCTGGGAATTCCATCGACTTGAAATTGCATTTTGTCCCTTTCAAAGTTACATTGCATGGTGCTTCTTGACGTCCATGTTTCTCCACATTTTTCAGCTGCAGCTCAACGGCTCCTTTTTAAAATGAGGATCATAGAGGAATGAAAATGAAAGAACGGGAAATCTGAATGACAAAATCACGTTTTGCATTTAACATTTAGGCAAAGCAAATAAATGGCATAATATTAGTTGGTAGCTTCATTTGGATGAGCCTAATTCAGCTGCCTTTAACCGTCTGAAGCAATTCATTTAAGTTGGTCCAACAATCCTCTCTTTGCAGTTTTTCCACATAATTGTTCTTACTGCATATTCAGTACCCAAGTAAAAATAGACCTAATGTGCTTGATCTCTCTCCACCTTTGATTTTCTCTCCAGATTTGTTCCCTCCAGCATCTCTGCCTTTTAGACATGTAGAAAGTGCTTTAAAAGTGAAGCAGAGATGTCCCAGGATTTCATCATGCACATGCAGCTCCTGTCTTACTTTTTTGTTCACACTGGGACTCTTAATCATTTGTCCTTGTCTGCAGTTTTTTTTTTTTTCCAACATGTGAAGGACTGATGCATACTCTCTGCCCTCCGGCCACTGCACAGCCTCATAATCAAAGTGTCCAGCCTGGTGACTGATGCCACAGTTTTCCGCTGCAGGTTCTTTCTGGACTCCAGATCTGATCATTGCTCCGTGCAGACATACATATATATTTTTAATCTTCTCCTCTCTCCAGGCTGCACCTCTTCTCACCATGATAAACTGGGTCACCTACGGGCTCATCAGCCGCTATCTCTCCCCAAGATCAATCCGAACAGTTATGCAATAGCGTATCACCTTATCGATTATTTGGGATGTGTAGTCATGCGGTTCAACTTTGCCAGTGTTAACGCAAACCAGAGGACTACATCTCCCAGCAGGCGCAGCGGCACAGCGCTTCACTAGTTACACACAGTGAGTGTAGTTGGCTGCACTTGGAAATCCGTTCATGATTCACTTCATTAATAAATAAATAGTTGGGTGTCATGGCGGAATCTGCAGCGTGTCCTGCCTTCCAGCTCGGCAGACCCCGATACGACCAGGTGAGTGCTCGCTCTCCTCCGTTCACCATCCGATCATTTTGTTTGCGAAGCTCTCGGCTGGGAAGAAGAAAAAACAAAAAACAGCCCCATCCTCCGCCCTGCTGGATGCTGACACTTTGGAGCCAAAGTTGCCTTTGATTTGCGATCTTCCATTAAAAACAACCGCAGCAACTTTCATCCGATGATCAACTTCTGGGTGTGATTGGATCAGTTCGGACTTTTTAATTTAGATTTTTTTATTAACAGCTGCACTAGTTTGTCGGCGCAGTCATATCGCTGTTTATCATCTCTGACAGATCTCACAGCCGATCAGACATCCTGCACGTCAGTCTATCGTTTATTTATCCCATTTTTTAATTTTGTTTTTATGATTTATTCTTTTTCACTCATTTCCCTCCTCTTTTTATTTCTTATTTACAGTTGCAGGTGTTGCATATTTCCGATTCATCATCTCCAATTTTGTGCAACATTATCTCCATGAATCCACACTTTAACACTTTTATCCAGGATGCTTGCTGCAGACTGACTGTTGCCACCCTCTTGTGATCGTGATTAATGGGCCGTCTGTCCTTATCTAAAGCCCATTACTCAATTTTCCGTCCAGAAATGAATATGCATGGGTCAGCTCTGAGAGATAATGTGACCTTCACGTTAACTAGGATGGCACATTAACCGAGGAAGCGACACACTGGTTGAATTCCTTATGCTTCTGTGTTCAGTGCCATTTTTGTGGCAGCAGCCTTTAGGAGATGATTTAGGTGGTGGTGATGCAAGTCCATATGCAGGTTGAGCCTCTAAACTTTGCTATATCACTGATTTGTTACTGTTATAAGCAATGAATGCGAGTATTATTAAAATGCAGGCTCTCCAGCATGGAGACTATAGAAAAGCACACACACTAACAATAATATCTTCAACTTTGAAACCTTTCCTCACTCATTCTGTAACATAAGCTGGGCAACATCCTCTGTTTGAAGTGACTGGTTTGTTGGCTGAATAGGCAGCCACAAAGAAATGACAAAGAGATGCAAAATTACTTCAAAACAACTACAAAGAAATGCAAAACAGCTAAAGAAAAAAAAAAGAAAAAAAAAGAGGCAACATTCACGGAAACAGATAGAAAACAATGACAAAAAAATGCAAAATTGTCACAGAGAGACCAAAACAGCTACAGATCGATTCAAACAAAGACACTCAAAATAACCTCAAATAGTCAAAAGAATAGCTACGTGGAAATAACTACGAAGGATGCAAAATTGCCACCAGGTCTAAAACAAGTGAAAGGCTGCAAAATTGCAGCAAGACACAAAAGATTTACAGTGAGATACAAGACAGTCACAACAAAATAACCCAAAAGAGAAAACAAAAAATTACATAGAGATGCAAAATTGCCACGGTGAGATGCAAAACAAATTATGGGATGCACAACTGCCACAAGGAGACATAAATCAAAGAGGCTTAAAATAATTTTAAACAGGCAAAAAACAACAACAACAACAATGACAAAAAAAAAAAAACAAAAATCAACAACTAGAGAGGGTTGCAAAATTGCCACAAAAGGCAGAAAGCTACCAAGGGATCCAAATTGCCACAAAAAGGGATGCAAACTTGCAGCAACAAGACACAAAACATTTACAGTGAGATATGAGACAATCACAACAAAATAACCCCAAACAGACAACAAATATTTAGAAAGGGATGCAAAATTGCCACAGTGGGATGCAAAATAAATCAAGGGATGCAAAATTTCTATAATGAGACCAAAAAAGCTGCAGGGAGATGCAAAACAACCACAAAGAGACTCAAACTATCTAAAGAAAAAACAAAAAAACAACTACAGAGGGATGCAAAATTGCCACGAGAAGATGCAGACAGCTACAAAGAGATCCAAATCTCCACAGTGGGATGCAAAACAAATGCAATACAAGTAAAGGGACACAAAATTGCAGCAACATGCCACAAAATGTCAACAGAGACATCCAATATAATCACTGAGAGACTCATCATAAACTCAAAGAGACAAAATCAATCACAAATGAAAGCAAAATTGAGATTAGATTCAAAACAGTTGCCAAGAGATGCAACACTTTGTCAATGAGACACAAAATAGCATCAGGGAGATATGAAACAATAACATAGAGACTCAAAATGACCTCAGATAGACAAAATACAGCTACAAATCAACTACGAAGGGATGGAAAATGGTCACAATGAAATGCAAAACAAGTATGAAAGGATTCCAAATTACCACAAGACACAAAATGATCTTAAGGGCAAAAAAAATGTTCAAAAGAGAAATTAACTGATACTGTATTTTTTTTGTCTGGATGTTGATCTTACGTCGTGGAAGTAGAGACCCACTGTTTCATAACTTATTCATGAACGCACCAATTAACACAGGATATTACACTGTTCACAGAACGCCCATGTAACGGCTTATTAACACTTTTGGTCCCATGTGAATTAGGATTATTTATAAAGTGACTGCAAAGTCTTCATTAAAGATGACTGTACTTCCTCCTGGGTTGCCAGCTCTTATCATCTATGCTCTGCTTATATATAGTCTTTCTAGTGGAAGGGCTTTTCAATAAAGCTGTTATTTTTACATCAGCAACCTGCAGTTCACGTTGGGCCGATAAAGGTGCTGTAACACTTCCTGTTCCTTGCGTCAAAGCAGTTAAAATGAGGCCAGGTCCTTGAATCAGCATAAATCTTGCTTGGTTTGTCTGTGCTTTCTGCCGCGCTCCATCTCTGCTAGCCTTGTTGTGTACTCTCCAGGGAGCTGAAACTCATGCATAATTAAAGCAGGCTCCTCACACAGATCCTCGCTCTACCCCACTCTTACAAAACAGCACTGCAGCGCATATGGCCTGTCAGAGGAGCCGATATGTGATGAAGGAAATGGCAATGACAGAAAAACCCACAGCTGAGGTGTAGAAAGATGGTTTATCGAGCAGTCTTTATGAGAAATGAAGGCTGTTTACAGTCGTTTCAATTCGGACCCGGTGCTAAAGAGATAATTGAAATAGAGACTTGTCTGGTCCACTGTATTTCCACTGTATGTCCTGGCCTTCATAACTGATAAACGTCTCTGAGGGAATCTGATTGAAGCTGCCATGTTTTTGCCCATCTGGTTTGCCAAAGAGACTCTTGGCATAAACTGCTATTGGGCCTTTTCAGACTCTTGGCACACATACCGGCCTGCTGATGTAGACAGTGAGGGGAACAGAAAACAGGGCGCTTGTCCAGCAGCTTCAAGCCTCACTTGGAAGAATGTGTTTGGTAAATGTGAACTCGCTCACTGCTTTCCTCTCCTAAAAGGTGCATTTTGCTCCTACGTCTCAGTTGCATTTTCTTCCACCGTTCCGTTAGGACGACAAAGACGTTCTTGTGTATTTCATAACAGTTCAGTTTTAATTGGAGCAGCATGCGTTCATTTATTTTAATTAACATATCCAGGAACAACATACCGTGAAGAGCACAATACTCCTTTTTACTAATAAAGGCTGCATCTCGCAGTCTTCATGAGCAACTTGTGTAACCCAGGAGTCCTTGTCCTGCCTGGAAATGTAAACATGCTGCAGTAGGTTGACATTTTTGCAAATTCACCTTGCTTTCTCCTGAGCGTTAGAGGAAAAAACATTCTGATGTCTCTTCTGTACGTAAGAAACAACAGCCAGTTAGCTTAGCTGAGCAAGTAGAAAAGCAAATGAGAAAGGGATGCAAAATTACACAACAGCTAGAACAGAGAGATGCAACACAACAACAAAGAGACTCAACTAAGACAAAAACAGCTGCAAAGGGACACAAAATGAACACAACGAGATGCTTAACAGCTGCAAAGGGATGCAAAACGGCCACAACGAGACACCAGCAGCCACTGAGGAATGCAAAACAACCTCAAAGGGACTTAAAATGTCCTCACAGAGACAAAAGGGATAATACAAAAGGATGCAAAATTGTCATGAGATATAAAATGACACCATGGGAATGCCATTTACCACAACAAGACACAAAACACAGAAAGGTGCAAAACAACCACAGAGAGGCTCCAAATGATCTCAAAAACACAAAATACAATTTCAAGGGGCTTTTTTTCTCGGCATTGAAGGAGAAGATTGAAACCACTCTCATGTAAGTGAGAAGCTGCAGCAGGTTAGCTTAGCATAGCACAACAGCTGAAAACGGGTGAAAGCCTATTTTTTTTTACTTTTTAAGTTTTTTCCCCCTCATATGTTGATCCCTTACTTAACAAATCAAAGTTATCGCAGTTGATAATCAAATTTTCAGCCCAATTAGGAGATCAGGGTTTTTTTGAGGCTTAGTCTGATATGTTTTTGAGGTAAGTGTTGTTGTCAAATGTGACTTTTGAATTTCTCCAATGCAAATATGACTTATGATATGATGACATCTAGCAGTAGTTCAACAGCAATTTTTGGCACTAAGCTACACAGATATCCTTTATCACTTTTTTGTGTTTCATAAATCTTTTCCAACAAGAGGAATACATAACGAATTAAAACCCAGCAGGTAGATTTATAACAAGACTTAAAAATGATGAATTTACTATGACGCTGTCTACGACCCTGTGGAAACTTTTGTATACATATGAAACAATAAATTGTGCTTGCATGTGGTGCTATAAGCACATGAATTATCCTAAACTGCTACTCTTTTAAAACAACTATCAATATGCTTTTCTGAGAATAAAGTGAAGTCAGTTCAGAGGACTTGTTTGCTGCTATTATTATGCATTAACCTAAATTAGGAATGAACTTTGCCATATTCTCTTCCCCAGACTTCATTCCTTGGTCGACTGAGACACTTCGTAGATGTCATTGACCCCAGCACCCTGTTTGTGTCCGAGGTAAAGCCTTCTGGAAAACTGCAGTTATTTTTAATATCTACATGTGTTTTTGGTTTGAAGCCTGAAATTTATTGTGCTTAAACTGTGTACCTTCTATATGTAGTGGTAGGTTACAAATGATCAGACACTGAATGGTTCAGATGTAGTATTTAGGCAACATTAATTTCTTTTCTTTGTTTTGTTTTTTTCCCTAACCAATTAACTGCTGAAGTGTGGAGTCTGCAATTCTGAAGATTGCTGGTGTTTTGGTGTTTAGCATATTTAGATTTGGGGGTCGACTGATGTGTTTTTTTTTCAACACTGATTAGTAATCAAGGAGACCAAGAACAGACACCTAACAAATATTCAGCAAACATTCACAGAATTTCACAATACAAATGCTGACTCTACTTTTAATGTCTTTTACAAGTCAAAAAGCCAAGAATTTCACTGTCAGCCATTGGACTGTGAGAAGGTTTCAGGATTTTCGCTACATGTGAACCACCAAAAATTGCTTGATAACTTGACTCGATTCATTAGTATTAAAGTAAAGCTCGATTGCAGCCCCAAACATTTCACTGTCAAATGAAACAAAGGATGTCAAGGTTTAGATGTGTAGGTACAGGCACTGTGTTGTAGATTAACTTGTTTACATTTGTAAGTGAAAAGAAAAGTGTCGTCTGGTAAAGCTACCCAACCATGTTCCTGTTAAATATGATTTAATGCACGTTCTAATTTGTCTTTTTCTTTGTATTTGTTTGTAGATACGATTAAAAGAATGCATCAAACTCCTTGATGACTATAAACATGGCACACTTCCACCTGGAGTGTCTGATGTTCAGGTGAGTCTTTATAGACACTGATATGATGCAGTATGTTGCAGCGTCATATATAATGTAGAATATAATATAACAACATATATGAAATTCAGGTTTAATATAACATGGACAGGAAACATTGCTCGAGCAAAACACAGTTAACAATTTGAAAAGCAGTGCAAGTTCAGGAAGGTCTCGTTTTCCACATAGAAAAGCTAATAAAGTTGAAAGTATACACCGATTAATTAATGATAATTCTTCTTTTTTACTGCATTGCTCACCTGTTCAGTTGTGGGAAGCCCAGAAGATCAAACAGGTAAGTGACTCATCGGTTGGCTCAGGTCAACTGCACTGTTCATGCATTCGGGTCTGTGGGCTGCTGGCAGCATGAGGAAGCTTTCATGCTCTCTGCACGCAGGCCATCATTCATCCTGACACAGGAGAGAAGATCTTCATGCCATTTCGAATGTCAGGTACGACCTCAGATGAAGATCTTTGCTTAATTTGTTCAAGTTGGTCCATGTTGTCATCATTTCTTTACACTTGTTTTCACTGTGCAGGTTATGTACCATTTGGAACACCGATTGTAAGTCCCACCATACATTTTAATCATGCGTGATCATGCGCGAACTTTACTGTAGCGATTATCCATGAACATAGTCATGTTTGGGAACAGATGAAATGAGACTGAACTTATTTTGTCCAAAAATAAGCTCTTATTCCCCGGTTTCATCTAGGTCATTGGCCTCCTTCTCCCAAATCAGACTGTGGTGTCTACCATTATTTGGCAGGTACTGTAAATAACATGCATACTGTAAAACATTGCATTTATCGCCCATTTTGAACATCTGGTAAGTGCACTTTTACCATTTAAATGCAATGCTTTACTGGAAGACAGACAGTGTAAAATAAAGTGCTGCTATCTATCTATCTATCTATCTATCTATCTATCTATCTATCTATCTATCTATCTATCTATCTATCTATCTATCTATCTATCTATCTATCTA